CCCCACACTAGCATTTTCTCCTGTGTCGTGGGTGCGTTTACAAACATACAAGTTCACATACACATCACACCCAGACTCGGAACACACAAAGAGAAGGAATCTGTGGATCACACAAAGAGGTGTTCCGTGCGCGAATCTAACCTGCGACACCTTGCATGGCAGCTAGTTGCACAGCTACCGCGCCAACCGTGCAGTCTTAGGGAGTTTTTAGGGGAGAATCAAAGACTACTCCCGCTTTGGGTGAAGCGAGAGGGGGTGTCAGACTCTTAGTTAGTTACTAACCGCTTAGTTTAGTCAACAGGACCCCGTTCCTACTCCTGCACCGAGCCACGGCAACTTTATGAGATTTTTCACAGCCTTAATTCTGTGTATGGTTATTCACATTCTGGTTTAGATTAGACCCTTTTTAACGAGTAGTAAAGGTCCGACAAAGAGAAGAATTGTCCTTACTCAAAGTATTAAATCTACTGCCTAAAATACAAGTTTCCTTTCCGACTACTTTAGTCCGAATAAAAATTATTAAACGACCGAATGTGATACTGAAATCTTCGAAAAATAAACATGACTGTTTATTGCTACACCTAATACTTGTCTACCAGCATAAATTACGTTGTATTGACAACTATGCTTTGTCTAAGCTAACCTAAAAACTCTGTCGCGGAGAACCTAACGGGTAACCGGGGCTCCGGCTCGACGTGTAGGAGAAGGAACGGGGTGGTTTTTAGTCAGTAAGAGTCTGACACTCCCTCCCGCCTCACCCAGGCAGGAGCAGTCATTTGATGATTTTCCACCATTAAAAAAATAAAACCTGAAAACTCTGTTGTCAGTAACTTAGTAATTTTGTTAAAGGTTCAATATTCTATTCGTAATTTTAATTTTGTAACTCGAAGATCCATTTTTTTATCGGCCACAGATCGTTGGAGATTAAATTTGTTTATCGGAACCGTTATTAATTCCCGGTTTCAAGTCATAATCTGAAAATAAATTGACCGTGGCAGGATTTTAAAATAAAAGTAGGCTGTTCAACGTAATTATCTTTATCTACGTAGGACTACAGATAAAAAATCTAGAGATAAAACTTCAAAACAATACCTGAGGCCTTAGTACGAGTTTGTTTTACGTGAAAAGTAATGGAAACGAAACCTCGTCCGGTGGTAGAGGCCTTAGTACAAAGTGATCGTAACGAGTACGCGTTCGGCACTCTGATTGGCCGGCACCAATGAAGCAACCAATCAGAGCGCCGAACGCGTACTTGTTTCGATTACTTTTAAACGTAAAACTTACTCGTACTAAGGCCTCTGATTGGTTGTTCAGACCATGGTACGGAGCGAGGGGACTGGGATGCCGCCTCCTCCTTCTGCGAAGCAGTCATGCTAGCTAAGGAGAAGGCGGAGCGCGTGAGGGAACGTACCTCCTCACGACTCGGCCGTCGCGAGATACATTCCGGGCGTCGGGGATCGCGAGACGATCCCCGGCCACCGTAATCACGGGCCTGCGGACGGCGAGCACACCCGAGCGTATGGCGCGTCGCGTCGCGAGCCATCAGACCACCACAGATGGGGACTAATAGGGCTGATGCCGATACGGTGCCGCGGAAGACTTAACGGGTTGCCGGGGCTCCGGCTCGAAGTGCAGGAGTAGGAACGGGGTGGTTTTAGTCAGTAAGAGTCTGACACTCCCTCCCGCCTCACCCGGGCGGGAGAAGTAATTGGATGATTTTCCCCCCTTAAAAAAAGGCCCTCTGATTGGTTGGTTCATCGGAGCTGGCCAATCACATGCGTAGGTACTCCTTACGATTACTTTAAACTTAATGGAAACTCGTACTAAGGCCTCTGAACTATAAACACTTTCTTTATAATATATGTATTATACTTTCTCCACTTATCTTTGCACGTACTTGTGCAACATATAAACAGATGTTAATGATAAGACGGTGTCATGATAAGTTCTAGACTGATAATGCAGGGCATTGACCTGTCAATGTCACGGGTATTTAATTTTATATCTATCCGTCGGCGTTTTTATAATATGACTGACGGCCGAATACAGAAAGGCTTTCTTTTATTGGGACAAGCCCGCCACAACCTACCAAAACCGCTGCAACTCCTGTGCACCAGGATCAACAGTAGATACAACCATGAAAACACCGGAACACTGAAGTCTAACGTCCCAGGTACATGAATAATTGTCTTGGTTGCAACGAAATGAATCAGAAGATATTAAAAGAGGCGGAGAAAAAACGATAGTTTCCATTTCCCTCGGTAAATTACTGCAGGAGGCAAATGAATTAAGACTAATACTGAAAGGCTATTCCCTGACTAACGAGCATTTGCGTGTAATGTAACATATAGATTCGAATTTGAGCATTTTATAGCAAGATGTCAGACAAAGCGGGTGGGCTAGTTACAAGTTGTATCAAGATATTACACATTGTATCATTAGAAGGTGCACATTGTAATGTTCGTTTCATGACACACAACAAGAATACACACGAAAAAAGCTTCAATGGTAATGCTCAAACCTTCTCCGTCTGAGAAGAGGCCTTTGGTCAGCAGTGGGCGTTTATAGGCTGTTAATTATGATGATGATGATGATGATTTGTATCAGTCGACCAGCCCACGAGCGCGTCATGCTCTCTCATCGCATCGCGTGGTAAATGTATCAAAGTCTACCAATTATCTAAAGGTCGTATGTCAAAAGAGAAATTGCTTATCTTGTTAACTCGTAATTCAATGACATAAAGGATAATATTGTAATATTGACCTTAGGACGATGATTGCTTAGGTCAATCTGCGTAATGATCTTTGTTTAACATAATATAAATGTACTTGTCGCGGAGAACCTAACGGGTTACCGGGGCTCCGGCTCGACGTGCAGGAGAAGGAACGGGGTGGTTTTTAGTCAGTAAGAGTCTGACACTCCCTCCCGCCTCACCCAGGCGGGAGCAGTCATTCGATGATTTTCCCCCCTTAAAAAAAAAAAAGGAAAAAACATAATGTACTTATATAAAGTCATAGGACTTAACTAAAAATATCCGTCTATACACGTAAATATCTCTATGAGATGCTATTACCAAAACGACTAATAATAAGTCTATCAATACCAACAAAAAAAAAAGTGAATAGGTAGCTTATAGGCATAAGCAACCTATTGACTCGGGCCTTGAAATCACCCAGGTTATACTTGATTTTGACAAATAATATATTTCCGTGAGAAATGCTAGATTACAATACATTTGTCACCATAATACTCTTTCCGCGGGTATCGTAAACCCAAGTAAGGTCCTATACATTGATAGCGACCGTGCAGCAGCGGTCTCTGATAAACCTGAACCTTTTAAACTGCGACCTCCAACGCCTGCCTGCGGAGATTATGACAAACCCTCTTATGTAGAGGAGACTCATAGTGCAGCAGTGGAATGTCACCCGCAGTTGATAATTCTTATTTGTTTGTCATGTAACAACAGGATACGATAAAAAAACTTAAAAATGGTGTTCGTCTATTGTTTGAACAGACCGGATGCGCCGGACACGCTACACTTAATTATACAGCGATTGTAATAATAGATTGTGTATTTTTTTTTTAAGTGGGAATATCATCGAATGACTGCTCCCGCCTGGGTGAGGCGGGAGGGAGTGTCAGACTCTTACTGACTAAAAACCACCCCGTTCCTTCTCCTGCACGTCGAGCCGGAGCCCCGGTTACCCGTTAGGTTCTCCGCGGCTCCGAATCGGCATCGGCCCTATAGGAACCCATCTGTGGTGGTCTGATGGCTCTTTGAGGCGCGCGCGGAACGCGACGCGCCGTACGCTCGGGTAATAGATTGTGTATGGGTTCAAAATATCACATCACATCAACAGCCTACTAGTGCCCACTGCTGAGGAAAGATCTCTTCTCACAAGGATTGAGCATTAGTCACCAGTATTACATTGTTCTCTCATACTTAATTGAACCAACGAAACGAAAAAAGTGTAACCTATGGAGTTTCTTGCTCGTTCTTCTACATAGGAGTCTATACTTTGGAACGAGCTAGAATAATAGCTAGAATAAAGCTAGAACGAGAAAATAATTTGACTAAAAAAACCGACTTCGATAACCAAAACCTAAAAACAAGCAAAAGGTAAAAACTAATAGGTTACCCACCCACTGATAGGTAAGAAGTCGGTGCCACAAGTTTTAAACAAAAGTTATTCTTTAAACCCAATACCTTATATTACATAAGCGGTGTACAATTTTTTTTTAACGTTGTCCTACACTGGGATTTTCTCCCGTGTCGTGGGTGCGTTTACAAACATACAATTTCACATATACATCACACCCAGACCCCGAAACAACAATTTTTGGATCACACAAAGCGTTGTTCCGTGCGGGAATCGAACCCGCGACACGTTGCACGGCAGCCGGTTGCCCATCAACCGTGCAATTTTATGACAGAATATAACTATGACCATTAACCTAAGGTATATTTTGTTATAGGCCTATTTATTAATTATTACATTCCATACAAAAAAAAAATACAGCCGAATTAATAACCTCCTCCTTTTTTGGAAGTCGGTTAAAAATACTGACCGATAGACTGATACTTTTTAAATTTTTTCGGATGATGTTTAAAGGTCTGGTCTTCAATACATAGTATAAAACAAAGTCGCTTTCGCTGTATGTCCGTATGTATGCTTAGATCTTTAAAACTACGCAACGGATTTTGATGCGGTTTTTTTTAATAGATAGAGTGATTCTTAAGGAAGGTTTGTATGTATATACATATTGCACCCGTGCGAAGCCGGGGCGGGTCGCTAGTATTAAAATAAATTAATGATTTTGACTGTAACTTTGATCTGACTGGTCACGGTTGCTCAAGCCAGGTTGATGATTTCAAACTTAACATTAGAAATTTGAGGTCCAGGTTTCCTCACGATGTTTTTCTTCATGTTTGTCGCGGTTTCACACGACTGTGGTATAAGGATCTCCATTATATTATGTTCTCTTCTCTTCTATTCCAGAATCCTGGGTGGAACTCAACAACGGCGGTGGCCTGGCCGCCGTGGAGAACGAGTACATCAGACTGCTGCGAGAGGCGCAGAGAGAGAGCCGGGACTCCTCCGTGAGGCACTCCCGAGCCTCCAGTGTTAAAGGCAGGTGAGTGGTGTAAAATAACCCAATAGTTTGTTCTGAAGATGACCAGTGAGTAAAAGAAGGAAAGGTCTACCAAATTTTTCAATAAATCATCATCATGAGCAAAGCCTCTTCTCACACGGAGATACCTCGCGCGCCCAGGTTACCTCACGATCCTTATTGCTTCGTATCGACATCAGCCATATTGGGCCCTATCTGTGGTGGTCTGATGGCTCCTTGAGGCGCGCGCGGAACATGACGACATGTATCGGCGACATGTCTGCCGATTTCGACCGACATATTATAAGGCGACAACGCTCGCCTTATGTCCACAGCGATGTTGATGTTGCCAGATATGTTGTCATAAGTATGGCAACGTCGCGCTGCTTTAGCGCACGTCGCAGGACGTTAAAAACTACAGAGCGTTACCTCTACTCGCGAATCGCTATACTCAACATGATCAAGGTCAACTAGGCTACCTCTTCAAGCATTTGTAAGCATCATCATCAGTCGCGGAGAACCTAACGGATAACCGGGGCTCCGGTTCGACGTGCAGGAGAAGGAACGGGGTGGTTTTTAGTCAGTAAGAGTCTGACACTCCCTCCCGCTTCACCTAGGCGGGAACAGTCATTCGATGAATTTCCCCCCTTAAAAAAAAAACAAAGCCTCATCATCAACAGCCTATAAATGCCCACTGCTGAGCAAAACCTCTTCTGAGAAGAGTCTTCTCACACGGAGATAGTTTGACCATTAATCACGACGCTTGCTCAATGACGGTTGGCGGTTTCAAACTTATAATTAGAAATTATAAGCCCAGGTTTCCTCACGATGTTTTCTTTTCCCGTTTGTCAGTGGTGTCTGAATAATCTTAGAAAGTACATACAACTCGGAAAAAGTCACATTGGTACTTGCCGTTGGTAGATTTCGAACCAGCACCCTCGTGCATGAGATGCAGGCGTCTTACACCGAGGTCAGCCACGACACTTATTTTTAAGAATTCTTTATATTTAAAGCATTTTAAGAACCCTTTATAACTTAAATGCTTTTTGTATTAATTTTCACTGAACAATTCGCTCTTTTTCAACTGACTGCCTTGTTGGCCGAGTGGTCGCAAGTGCGACTGCCAGGCATGGGATTTCGGGTTAAATCGGGTTCGATTTCCGGGTCGGGGAAAGTGTCACTGGGTTTTTGAAAAATTCTCAGTAGTAACACGGAGTCTGGAAATGTGCCCGGTATATGGCAATAGGCTCACCCCCTATTACATGGGACTCATAACATAAATAGTGAAAAGTGGGTGTTACATTGTGCAGCGGTATAATGTGCACTAAATTAAAAAAAAGAAAAATTCACTAAAAAAAATCACACGCCAGTGTTATTAGTATTTGAAACGCCACATGCAATAAATAAGGCAGTTCTAGTTATTCAGCCATCGATTCTTGCAACTGCAAAGTTAATTACAACAGTTGCAGAGAAGCCCCGTAATGAGGACGTGTGCTTGATAAATAGCTGACGCACGCACCGTCATTATTGCATTGTGCACACACTCGTATTTCTAAACTGATTTTTGAACCGATTTTCAAAATATTAGGAGATTCTTAATATCTTGACTGCCTCCGGCCTCGTTGACCGATTATCGCGGGGTGTCGAGTTCGAGTCGGGCAAAGTATTACGGTGTTTTTTTTTAAATTCTCAATAGCATGGAGTCTGGAATTGTGCCCGGTATATGGCAATAGGCTCACCCTCTATTACATGGGATTCATAACATAAACAGTGAAAAGTGGGTGTTACATTGTACAGTGGTATTAAGTGTCGTAATGTGCACCTCTGCCTACCCCTTCGGGGATAAAAGGCATGGTTATGTTATGTTATTTTCAAACGATTTCCAAAAAAGGAGGAGGTCCTTAATATTTTGACTGCCTCGTTGACCGAATGGTCGCGGGGTCTCGGGTTCGATTCCCGGGTCGGGCAAAGTATTACTGGTTGTTTTTTTTAAATTCTCAGTAGTAGCACGGAGTCTAGAATGGGGATGTTGACAGGGTATAAAAATTAAAAATATAATTAGTCCGTAAGTTAGGTAATAAAAAAATATTAGACACGTATTTTTTTATTTTGTCGTATAACAAAACAATACTTAGATAAAACGAGTTAAAGTTTAGGAGTGGGGGGTAAAACGTCATTTCTTAGTATAAAATATACTGAGAAGTGACGTCACGCGACATTTCAAATCAATATATCTTCAAAACTATTCGTTTCCGTGAGAAAATAAAAAATACGTGTCTAATATTTTTAAATAATCTACCAGACGGACATTAAAATAAAAATTAGTCGTCTACCCCATTGTGCCCGGTATATGGCAATAGGCTCACCCCGACAAAACGCGGCTATTTATAAACTTACTAGCTTTTACCCGCGGCTTTGCTCGCGTCACAAAAGGATAAAAAGTAGCCTACGTGACATATACCAAACTAGCGGCCCGCCCTGACTTCGTCCAGGTATAATTCTGTAAATTACATCCCTACCCCTACCCTACCCTACCCCTACATTACCCCTACCCTACCCTACCCCTACATTACCCCTACCTTACCCCTACCCTACCCCTACCGTACCCCTACCCT